AGTAATTTTTAGCTATTACATTCAAATGAAATTAATTTGTAATTAATTAAAAATAACTGATAGTAAATAAAATCATAGAATATTAATAATATTATTAATAATAATGTAAATATAATAATACTTATAATTGATGCTTTTTGTTCATGACAAAATTAACCAAACAGTTGTACACATTATTACACTTTTTTGACTGCCTTTTTGTTTCCTTCTGTATTTCTTTGTGTTTAGTTTGTGGGAAGCGCTACAAGAACCGTCCAGGTTTGAGTTACCATTACACTCACACACACCTGGCAGACGAAGAGGGTGAGGAAGACTCCGAACGGCACACGCTGCCCTTCCAGCGCAAGAACAACCACAAACGTGAGCGCAGCATCAGCCTCAGCCATGGATTACACACTCATACCACAACCCACAGAGTACCACTATTCTAACACAACTCACCCACTCTCATACCCCTTTTCCACTGACCCCGGTGCTGGTGCTGGAGCCGCTGTCCAATCTAGCCCTGTTCCACGCATTTCCAATGAATGAAAGGTGCTTCTGGCCTGGACCAAATTGACTCGGCCTCTTAATCCTGCTGGTCTTAAACCAGGCACCGTTATCGCCGGGAACCAGGGCGGTATTCACTTAAAATTTACAAACTACTCATGACCAAACTAGATCGTTCATTATAATCAACAGAGCTGACTGGAAGTGCGCAGTGCAGCAGTTGACACCCTGTTTTGTCCTCTTGTTCCTACTTTTGTTGTGCTGCAATGCTACTCCAGCAACTTTATTTTCCCCATCTGTCTGAAATAAAAAGATTTTATTTACAAATATGTGTGAATTGATTACTATGAATTTTATTCTTTATATATTGAACTCCTATAATATTAACAGTTTTCTTCCTTCTTTGTTCTTGTGGTGAATTAACATCGTTATTAAGTATTTTGTAGTGCTGTCAAACGATTAATCGCGATGAATCGCATCCAAAATAAAAGTTTTTGTTTATATAATATATGTGTGTGTACTGTGTATATTTATTATGTATATATAAATACACACACACGCATGTATATATTTAAGAAAAATATGTTATATTTATATATTAAATTATATAAATATATACATGTACATATTTTCAAAATATATACTGCATGAGTGTGTATTTATATATACATAATAAATATACACAGTACACACACATATATTATATAAACAAAAACTTTTTTTGGATGCGATTAATCGCGATTAATCGTTTGACAGCACTAGTATTTTGTCATCAGCAACAAAGCCTGGATCCATTTGACGCTATATTATATGGGTTTCCATAGAAATTAATATCTGGTTCTGAAGACGTTAACACAGTAGAATCTTCGACTTGTCATCTTGTAATTATGGTAATTACCACACGACACAAACAAAGCAAAAGACTTCTAAACAAAGATTGTGTTCACACTGCACTCAAATCCGATTTGGATTCGGTGACCGCGCTGTCATTTTGCAAGTGATGAAATTGGATCCGTTTGTTGAAGCACTGTTGTCAATATCCATATCTACATCAGCTGCTATAGTTATGATATAATGATTCAGCGTAATGTCAAGAGACTTTCTCATAGAACAACGCAGAGCAGCTAGCAATGTGGAAAATCACAACAGAAAACTGAACTTTTTACATGATATTCTGTTCATGTATTTTTTGACATCTCACCACGGTGCTAAAGTCACGAGGCATGTTTTACACATTCATGCATATACTGTGTCCAAAACTGCTGACTCATATGTAATAGTGTTACATACACATAATGGCCAATGACAAAAATAACACAATGATTTGAAATCTGATGGACTGAGACGCATTTATAAACACTGATTACATTTTTTTTCCCTGTTCAGACTAAATGGATTTGAATGTGATGTGCCAAAAAATCTTTCTGAAAAAGAGTTGGTTATGTAGTAGCAGTTACTTTATCATTCGGCTCTCAAGTAACAATGTGGTACGATTCAGAGAGACGTCCCCGAGCACCAGCACCATTTTGGTGGAAAAGGGTATTAATCATCTCACATATGCATTACAATAATTCACATTGCAGTTTTTGTAATCAGTATTTTGTCATTTTCCAGTAAACATGTCCTGAAAATAAAATACTTTTACCTAAGAAGCAAAATATTACATTAATGCATTTCTTACCTTATTGGCAATACCATTCAAATGTTTGGGGTCAGTAAAATTTTTAAGTGTGTGTGTGTGTGTGTGTGTGTGTGTGTGTGTGTGTGTGTGTGTGTTTGTGTGTGTGTGTTTTCTTGAATGCTCACCAAGGCTATAATTTATTTGCTCAAAAAACAGTAAAAACAGCATATGTTTATATCATTTAAAATGACTTTTCTATATGAATGTATCACATACTCACTATTTGACAGTTTCATGGTTAAGACAATATTTAAGACCATTTATTTTGAAATACATGAAAAATATTAATTAAAAATATTATATTGAAACTCAATATTATATTATACAAATAATAATTACGGCAATATCTTATATGCACTACCGTTCAAAAGTTGGGAGTAAGAATTTGTTTTATGCTTTTGAAAGATGTCTCTTATGTTCCCAAGGCTGCATTTATTTTATCAAAAATAACAGTAAAATAAGTAATATTGTGAAATACTGCAATTCAAAACAACTGTTTTCTATTTGCATATATTTTAAAATGTAATTTATTCCTGTGATGCAAAGCTGAATTTTCAGCCTTCAGTGTCACATGATCCTTCAGAAATCATTCTAATACGCTGATTTGCTGTTCAAGAGACATTTCTTATTATTATCAATGTTGAAAACAGTTGTGCTGCTTCATATTTTTGTGGAAATGGTGATACGTTTTTCAGGATTCTTTGATGAATAGAAAGTTTTTTTGAAATGTAATTTTTTGTAACTTTACTGTCACTTTTGATCAATTTAATGCGTCCTTGCTGAAGTATTAATTTACTTAAAAACCATCCAAACTTTTGAATGGTAGTTTATGCTTAAAACATTATATAATCTTTGAAAATAAGTCTTACACAGTTTTGCTGAACAAGTAAAATTGATCTTGTTTTTTTGAATTTTTAGTTTTGCTATTTTTACTGGTACAAAAAGACAAAAATACTGATTAGGATTTTTATTTTTTTTGCAGTGCACACTGTATCATGAAGTCATGTATAAGTATCAGTATTGAGATCTTCCACTCCTTATGGCTTAGTTGTGTTCAGTCTATAGCCGTTTTCCCTGACAAAGACAAGGTAACATTGCGTTGTCCTTGTGAAATCATGCCCATTTGCCTCCCAGAGTTATCTGGCTCGATGCTTGGCTGAAATTGCCTTCCCATCGGTTTGTTTACCTCTTACCGCCACTGGCTTTTTGATTCGAAAGCTGGTTAGTGCTGAATATTAGTGGTAAAATTTTGCAAGATTTTCAGACAGAATGCAATCGTGAGCGTCTGCAGGATGGTACGTTTTTTTCATTTCACACACACACACACACACACACACACACATCCTGTATTCCCATACTCCACCACGAGCAATATTAACAAGAGAGGTTTTAATGAAACCTAGGCCCATGTATTATTCATGCAATATTTAGACCAAAAGAGAACGATGTAGATGTAGGCATGCTAGCTAGAGCCGTTCAACTCAAGATGGAGAACTGGAGCCAGACCAAATCCGAAACTCCCATCCTCTGCCTTTATTTGGTTGTACGGCTGTTCCAACTCTCTCTGTTCTATCAGTTTGATGAATGACAGATTATTCAGCCAAGAGATGAGATTTCACCTCTCATTCTTGCTCTCTGTCTTTCTCCTTTCTACTATTTTGCCATTTCTTTCTCGCTTTCTCTCTTTTTCCCCCATCACCCTGGTCTTTCTGCCTATATGCTCTCCGCTCTATCTCCTTTTGATTTGAGATTCATCTATCAGTTCTCTGTATTTTTCCCCCTCTTTATTTATTTCCACTGCAGAAGTGAGGCTGCTTGGCTGAGATGAGCGACTGCATTAAAATTCATGCCTGCTCATATTCTTTTTCATATAGTGTTGTGGTGCTGCTAGTGGGACGGAGGGGGTTTTGGGGGCTGTCCAGCAGTTTCTGGGGGGAGGGGTGCTGTCTGGTGTCAACGTGAAGGGAAAAGGGTAGAGGGGTAGGTGGCGGGGGGATCGCTGTTTGCATTTGAGGTCGCCCCTTTAGATGTGCACCTGAAAATTGGATTTGGGAGTTCTAGTTAAAATCCTCCCCCACATGCTCGCACACACACACATACACACTCTCTGCACCCACACTCTTAAAAAACGTCAGGATTTTACAAGATTGAACTCGTATTTTCTGTGCCATTCAGTGCCATTTTCTGTCCTAACACGACAAAATACTGTGGAAAAAAAGATTACCGCGCTGCATTGTGAGATAATAGTATAAATAGTTGTCTTCCTTTTCATTATGATAATTAACATTCCCTTTAGCAGCGAAGTTCTTAACTTTGAATTAATTTTCTCCCATCCAGTGTAATTGTGTTACAGAATACAATTCGTTGCATTGTTTAACACGGAGACAAGAAGCCAGACATTATGATTAGCTCTTAACTCTTACAGTTTATATTCTATTTGGCAATATGGAATGTTAACGTACAGAAATAACATAATCTTGCATGAACAGTTAAAGGAAATAATGAGTTTTGCAAAATACTGTTGCACATGGTGACAATCAAAATAAACTCTGAACACTACCAAACATGTATAACATAAAGTGAATACAAAGACAGCAACAGCCGAATCACCCAACAAATAGTAAAAAATTCAACAACATCATTTATTTATGCCCTAGTGCATGCTGGGAAGCTAAAGCCAGCATAGTACTGTGGATATCTCAGTATAATAGAAGAGATTACTGTTAAGCACAGCAAATAGTAGTCAAGATTATACTGTAAATTGACACAACACATTTAAAATTTTTTAGTGTGTGTTTCATCAACTACAGGTACAGATTTTAACATTTATTTTATATCTGCGTTATTTTAGTATTATGTAATAATATTGCTTTTATTAATATTTTAGAAGTCGTTATTTTTCATTTTCAGTTTAGTTAAATTTTTAGTAATTTTGTTATTTTCTTTATTTATTTTTTTCTTTTCTTTAGGTCTAACTGTTATTTTTTTTTCCATTTTAGTTCAGTTTTAGTTTTGATTTATTTCCAATTGTATTGTTTCAGCTTAAAATTATTTCAGTTTGTTGCCAATCTTTTTTTTTTTTTTTTTACATTGTCTATTGTTAAAGTTTCATCTAAATTTTTATTTTATTATTTTATTTTGTATTTTATATTTTTAGCTTCAGTTTTATTTTTAGTTAATGATAGTAACC